GAAATTGGGAAAAAAAGATAAGTCTTTCTTATTTAAATTCCTTTGATTCATTGTGAAGTCCTGCCAATTCCCCATTGATAACATACTCAAAAGGCTATAAAAAGCCAGCGACTTACTTATTTTTAAGTAATGTACCCTAAAAAACGGTGCCATCTGGGAGTGTTGAAAACACTAAACCTAGTAATTAATTCTGGAAATCATGTTTAAAATTACCACGGAAAATATATACACAGAGGAGTAAACAATGATAATATCTGGGTGATAAGAATGTGAGGCTTTTATTTTCTGATTTTTATTTAGCTGCATTTTCTAACTTTCTAAAATGTACATATGCTGCTTTTTATTTTTTAGAGAGATTTTATTTATCTTTAGAGAGGGGAAGGAAGGAAGAAAGAGAGGGAGAGAAACATCATTATGTGGTTGCATCTTGTGCTCCCCCTATCAGGGACCAGGCCTGCAACCCAGGCATGCGCCCTGCACTGGGAACTGAACCCGTGACCCTTTGGTTTGCAGGCCAGTGTGCAATACACTGAGCCACACCAGCCAGAGCTACTACTTTTTAGATAATAAAGTTATTTTTAATTTTTTTTTTAATGATGTGATCTTCGGAGAGAAAACATGTTTGGCTATAGGAAGAAACAATACAGATAGATTATTATTATCATTATTATAATTTTAAAGACTGATGTAAAGAAACTTGTCAGAAGATTGTGGCAGAAGGATTTTTGAAATTTTGATGATTAAAATGTTTCACTTGAACATATGATGGGCATATACTCACGCATCTCTGATTTTTTAAAAATCAAGTTAGGCATGTAACTGTCTTATTCTTTCAGTCTTGGTCTATCTTAGACTCGTCTCTTTATTTTTAGCAAGATCAAGCTTCCCAGCTGCTTTCTTGCTCTGCTTGCTTAGTTTTGGTAGTTAGAAGGTCTAGGAAAGATCCTATTTCCTTTCCCACTTCAGAGACATGGGTTATCCATTGAGTTAATGACACAAGCTTCATTTCTAGCCATTGGAAACTGTGTTTATCTGTTTGTAATAATGAGAACACAGTTCAAAGCAAAGAGCCACGAGAACCTCTCATTCTTGATGAAAGGGCCAAAAGTCAAAATCAGGAGAATCTGAGCCCAAAATGAGACATGCCTGAAATAAGAATACCATTAAATATAAGCACAAATGAAGTGGGTAAAGTGGACTACTTGAGCGGTACCATGACTCTACGATGAACATGCTTTTGGTTTAGACTAATACATACCAGACTGTTAGCTCTTCTTGACCATTTATGTTTTGGATTGGTTGAGCCCATTGGGAAGTTTACCCTTATCATTCTTATACCTGTCCTTTCAATACCTTTTTCCTCCTGGAACAACCAGATACATCTTTTGAGACCTAGTCCCACAAAACTTAGCTCTTAGCTACCTGTCAACAGATGTCATTTGTGGAATACTGTTAGTTACTTATCTACTCTACTTTCTTCTTTTTCTTTTCCAACAGAGCCCTGATTGTGTGCAAATAGATGGTCAGGGGAGGCTGGGTCCTTCCAACAGTGCCAGGTAGTCTTTTTATTCTGAATAATGACTGGATTAGGATAGAGAAGTACATGACAGAATGTACTGTCACCTTCACCAATGTGCTAAGGATGGCAGAGGAGAAATATGGAAGCAATGGGACCTTGATGGTGTCACTGAACCACTTAATTACCCAACCTGTAAGTGCCCTATACTTGAACATGGTTTTGTTGGGTTTTCTGTTACTTGCAGCTGAAACTATCCTGATATTCTGTCTGCCAAATCCCAATACTTATTTTGTGAATTTTGACAATATTATTTCAATAACCATGCAACCATTCCTTGAGTATCCTTTTAAGTATAAGTACATGCCTGGCACTAGAATAAGAAAATATATTGAGACTCACTAATAATTTTCTATTAGGGTACTCATCATCCTTGGTTTTTCATACAAGCACATTTGTAAACTGACAACTTTGAAAATACAATCTGAGGAGAGGCATTCTGAGCTCTTTGCACCTGGGGGAAGCAAAGTTGTATGTTGGCCAAGAGAACCCAAACAATTCTTTTTATTTTTAAATTTTTTAAATTTATTGATTTTGAAAGAGAGTGAGAGAAATATGGGAGGAGGGGTGAGATATTGATTTTTTTGTTCAATATATTGATGAATTCATTGGTTGATTCTTGTATGTGCCATAATTGGGGATCAAAGCCACAACCTTGACATATGGAGATGACACTCTAACCAACTGAACTACCTGGCCAGGGTAGGAGCTCAATTTTTAAATTCCAAATCCCTACACCACAGCACCCAGTGTCATCAGAGTGGAATATATGTGGCAGTGGGGCAGGTTCAACGTGAGGTATCATTAGACATACAACGTTTGGAGAAGCAAATCAACAGTTGTTCCCCACCTCAGGCTCTGAGCTTGATCTCAGTTGGGCTACATCCCTAAGGCACAATGAACCTAAACCAGTGATTTTCTTTCTTTCTTTCATTTATTGTTAATACTATTACAGATGCCCCCCATTTCCTCCAAGACCAGCGTTTTTAACAGGTTTGCTGCAAGTTTTTAAAACACGCAAAACCTGACTAATCAGGAACACTAACCTCTTTTCCCTTAGACTGTCAAATTAATAAACGACGGCAGCCAACATAACAATAGCAGTGAATGGATCAAAATTATACCTACTTTTTGTTAGGTCGGCAAAAAAAATTTTTTTTGGTGTGCTGCAGAATTTTACTAGTTTACGTGTGCCGTAAGATGAAAAAGGTTGAAAATCGCTGCCCTAAACTACATTGGGTTGGAGACTAGCAAACTAGCCTAAGCCAAGCAGAACTTAGCCTGTGCTGAAGACACCCCATTACATTCTACGTACCCACAGTTAGTTCAAGACACAGTGGACTGCTCAGGCCAAGACTAGGACCCCCATTTCTGGCCACTTATTCACCTCATCCCAGCGGAACCCAAGTTTTGGGCCCACAGGACACTGCCAGCTGGACCCAACTTTTGGTACTATAATCTTTTGGGTTCCAGAGTCTCCCTGTCTTTTTGCTTTCGTCCTTTCTTGAGACATTTACGTCCCTCTGGAGTCATTCTAACGCTCCACTTTCTCCGGTCAGCCCGCACGGAGCTCACCGAGGAGACCCAGGCAGCGGAACCGGAAATGCTCCCTGGGAAAAACCGGAAAGAGACTACATATCCCAGAATGCCTGGTGACCCATCGGTCTGGCGTAGAAGCGAACAAAAGAGAACCGGCTCTTCCATGGTCACGCTGGCCAATCGCGGGACAGAGTTGCTTAACTGCATTGGATTCGCACCTCCACTGTTGGGGAGAATGAGAGCGAGGGATAGTCACTGTGGCCTGTATTTGCGGTCTCGGTTTTCTTTTGGGGATCGCTTTCTGCTACTTCTGCCTGGGTAGCGAGAGGTTTTCCAATATCATTAGTCCTGGAGCGGTAAGTGGTGCCTGGCCGGCAGGGGAGTAAGCCCTTACGAGACTGGGACCAGGAGAAGAGCCATCGGCTCAGGTCTTTCAAGGGAAGCGAGGGAGACTGGCAGTGCGCGAAGGAGATGTGCAGAGAAATTGGACCTCTAAGGACATTCCTCGTCCCTCCTAGTTCTGGCCCGAAGTCCCTGTGGCGTCTGGAAGAATGCACGCCCGCCCCGGAGATGAAGTCTACGCTTCGGATAACCAGGGCCCAGGGGAGACCAGTTCCTTACCTCCCAGTCCAATTTCCTGTAGCTGCTTTCTGTGCTCTGCCTGCCCTCTTTTAAAATAAGGCAGGAACTGCTTAACGGGAGGGCCCCTGGTCTCCAAATATCCCTTTCAACAAGTTGTTTTCTCTCCCAGGCACATGGGAGAAATGGCTTACCAAATTCTTACTTTCAAAATCACTACCTGGAACAGGACCTCAAAGTGTCTTTCTGAAATGCTGCTCAAATCACAGATTTCTAGGCTTCTATACCTGTTTCTTATTCCATCTTGTTGAATAAACACAAACAGAACCTCCAGGTGATTCTTAATCACACTGAAGTTCTGTTGATTTATATAGGACTGATAAGGAATAGGCCTAGATGTGATGCAACAGTGAGCTTAGCAGTGAGTGTCATATGGAAGAACTAGAGGGACTAGCAGAGGGAAGGGTGTAGGGCGAGCCCTGAATCCCTATCACTTTCATGATTCTTCCTGGGCTGCTTAGTCCTCTCCTTTACCTTAGGCAGGGGTGTCCAGCCTGTGGGCCACATGGGGCCAGGGATGGCTATGAATGTGGCCAAACACAAAATCGAAAATTTACTTTAAACCTTTTTTTTTTTTTTTTTTGCATTCATCAGTTTTTGTTAGTGTTTGTGTATTTAATATGTGGCCCAAGACAACTCTTCTTCTTCCAGTGTGGCCCAGAGATGCCAAAAGGGTAGACACCCCTGCTAGTGCATCCTTACTTAATATTCCCCGAGAGTTGTTCCCTAACCTTTTCTCTTCTAATAATCTCTTGTAGAACTTAACAGTTTACTGTCTTGGTCCTTATAGCACTAACTCAGTAATTATGTCCATTTTTAGCCCTAGCTGGTAGCTCAGTTGGTTGGAACATCCTCCTGTACATCCAGATGTTGCGGGTTCAATCCCTGGTCAGGACACATACCTAGGCTGTGGGTTTGATCCTGGGTCGAGGTGCCTATAGGAGGCAACCAATTGATATTTCTCTTTCACATTGATGTTTCTCTCTTTCTCTCTCCCTTCCTCTCTCTCTAAAATCAATAAAAACATATCCTCAAGTGAGGATTTTAAAAAATTATGTACATTTTTACTCCCTCCTTCCCAATCCCCACCTGGAGCCCTTAGAACCCATATATGTTCCATCCTCAGCACTCAGGAACCTTTTACACCAAGCGATATTCTCCTTGTGTCTAATGTTTCTAGCTCTTCTTAGTTTTCCTAGACTGAGTGAGGGGATGGTGTTCCCAACTCTTGTCGTGTGGGCCACTCATGTTGTTAAAGGGATAAATGCTGTTTGAGCATCTGGCTGTGTATTTATCTCAAGAGGAAAGTGTGAGTCTGCAACCTGCCCAGAGGTCCCTCAGCAGAGACACCACCCAGGAGTGTTTTGAGGATATGGCCTTCATGGGTAAGGCAGTTGTTTTTCTGGATTTTGGAACTTTGGTCAGTTCTGTGATTAGGATTTCATGTCTAATCCACATGTTGGTATGGGGGATTAGGACCTATCCCTGGATAATTTATGTAGATATGATATGAACTTGTATGAGGGTGCAGTTTTCAAAGGATGAAATGATTTTTAAAATGCAAAAATTCTTTCTAGTACAGTGACTATGGTTTGTTATGAGACATGGTAGTACCTGGTTATCTTCTTAAATATTTGTTACAGTCAATTCACAATTTTACTTATGAAACTCCATTAGTATAGATTACTATCATTGTTAAAGTCTAGAAATTGATGACTGTTAGGAGAATGCTATGTCTCTCTTACCTAAGGGGAACTCTGTACCTGAATAGATTTTATCCCTGATGAGGGTTGACTTTTTGAACTATCCTATGACTCGTATTTTATATTTTCCATTTTTTTCTTCATGTTCATGTTTTCCTCTATCTTCTCATACATATGAAGTATATTTAAATAGATATTCCTATATTCTTTCTACTAGTTTTATCCTCTGCATTATTTCTGGGTTTGTTGATTGATTTTGCTCCTAGTTATGGATCATATTTTTCTGCTTTACATGTCTGGTAATTTTTGGTTGGATGCTGGACATTGTGAGTTTTATGTTGTTGGATGCTGGCCTTTTATTGTATTTTTAAAGATATTTTCGAACTTTGTAGTGGGGTGCATTTCAGTTACTTGAAATCAATACACTCCTTTCAAAGCTAGCTTTTTACTTTGTTAGGGTGTGTTCAGAGTAATCTTTAGTTTAGGGCTGATTGGCCTGCTGCTAAGGCAATGTCTTTCTGAGGATACTGCCTATGCCTGTTAGGGAGTCTTCCTATTGGCTGTGGGAACATGAACTACTGAAGTGGTATGTGAACTCTGGAGATTGTTCTCTGTTCCTTTTTGGTGGTTCTTTCTCTGGTTTTCTCACATGCACTTATAGATTAGTACTCAGCCAGAGTCTTAAGGGGATCCCATCTAGATTCCCAGAGCTTTCTGCCTGGGCACCTGCCTCTTCTCTGATATTTTGCTGTCAAATTCTAACCATGTTAGCACCCCTGAACTTGGTCTCCTCAAAACAGCAAAACCACTGAGTACTGTTTGGATTCCTGTACAACACACTGAGCCCAGTATTGCTTTCCAGGTAGCGAGCTGGGTCAATCATAGGGCTGTTTCTTTGGAAAGAAAGACCCCTTTTGTATTCATATATTGGCTTTATAAATTAAGGATGTTAGTAAAATATTAAAAAGAAATGCTTTTTAGCAGGTTTGAGTTTTGCCAGCCATCATAGCAGTGAGACTGGTTATTATTACCCTGTGGTTTGCATAGCAACTCTACCTTGATCTTTCCTTAGTGAGAGGTAAAAAGAAAAAAAAAATTGGAGAACTCTCCTTGTAACAATAAAACTGTTTCTAATAATCAGAGTGTTTCTCTGGTAGGTAGAAAAATACTCATTTGTTCTCGTTCTTTCTTGATAATTAGGAATCCCATTCTCTATTCCAATTGTGGTTGCTCAGGTATCACTTAAGATTGCTTAAATGATGAAAAGCTCTTGAGGCTTAAATAGACTAACTGGAAAACCTCACCTGTAGACAGTATCTACCAAGATTGCCCTTAGCCCCTATCCCATTGGACCCTGACTTAGTTATAGCTATTTTCTCCTTTTCTCCTACAGGCTTGCCTAAAACTGGATCCTTTGGGAAGCCAGTAGAGACTTCTGACTCCTGATTGTGTATGTCATCAGTGTCTGAGTTATAGAATAAAGCACCTGCAGTTACCCTGGTGCTCTGTGTAACTACCTTAGCTTGTTCTTTTCCCAGTACTATTTCAGGATGTTGTTTATGCTTTGTTTTGTTTTTATCAACAGGAGGGGAAGGCAAAATTGAGAATAATCAGCAGCTAAGTCTTAAATCTATAGGACTTGAAGAGCTAGAAAAATACTCCACTGATGGGCCCCGTGAAAGAAAATATCAGATGGAACTTCTGCTTGCAAGAAAAGTTTCATAAGCCTTTTAGTTACCATTGAAAACTATACCCATTAATAGAACTATCTCAATATTAGAAACCAGAGCACTTTCTGAAATTCTTGAATTTCCCTGGGAGGAAGCCAGAAATTTGTACAGGTGTCCTGAATGTGACCAAAGCCTTCTGTGATAATTCATACCTTGTTTTGCATCAGAAAACTCACACAGGAGAGAAAAAGTATAAATGTGATATCTGTGGGAAGATTTTCAGTCATAGAGCAAACCTGAGGATGCGCAGGAGAATCCATATTGGCAAGAAGCTCTATAAGTGAGCAGCTTCTGCCAGCGCTCACATCTGATTCAGCGCATGAATGTCCATATAAAAGAGAAACTCTACACATGTGGCATATGTGGAAGAGGTTTTCTGTGGCTCCTAGCATTAAGACAGCATCAAAAAAACCATGCTTACACACACAAAAAAGCCTTTGAATGTACAAACGCTGTTAAATATTTTGGTCAAAAAATCTTGCTTTGCATGAGAATATGCACACACCAGCCACTCAGTGTCAGTACATTCAGTGCATGAAATGCTTCAGGAAGACCTCACATCTTGCCCTTCCTGAGAAGGGCCACAAGGATGACTCTGAATGCTGCAGAGATTATGGGGAAAATTTGTTTTTGTTCTCAAAAATCAAACTTTAATGTCCCAAATGTGTGATGAGCTTTCTATGTATCTCTGAGTTTATTATTTTTAAATATGTTTTTAAAAGATTTTATTTATAGAGAGAAGGGAAGGGAGGGAGAAAGCGAGGAAGAGAAACATCAATAAACATTGACCAGTTGCCTCTCGCATGCCCCCATCTAGGGACTGCCTACAACCCAGGCATGTGCCCCGATCTGGAATCCAACCAGCGACATTTTGCCCTATAGTCTGATATCCAACCAACTGAGCCACACCAGTCAGGGTTCTGAATTTATTTCTCCTTAGAGCTTTCATAAAGAAGAAGAGTCCCATAAATGCAAAACATATGCAAAAAGTTTTATTTTGGACTCAGAGCTTGCATGCTACCACAAAAGCCAGACAGGAGAGAAATCTTTTAAATTTACTGTGTGTGGGGAGTTTCCAGTTGAATGTGTATCTCGTTATTCATCAATGAACCCATATGAAAAATGTTATGTAAATACAACAAATTTTCATTAATGCTTATGCATTTCAGGAGCTATGCTAAATATGGGGAACAATTACCCTATTTGCTAAGTAAGCACTTTACATATTCCATGTAATATATTATTTAATTTTCACCACAACCTTGATTTGGGTACTATGATTTCTATTTCATAATAAAGGAAGCATAAACAATGCCATAGCTAGAGAATGATGCCAGGATCCTAACTCAGTAACTCAATTACTGTTTAAATTCCATTTGTACAAGTTGAGAACATTTTTTTAAATTCAGTTTTCATTAAAAGTTACTTCTAGAGCTCTTTGAATTTTGTTTACATTGTTTCTAAGGAAATTAGAAGGAGGAGAATTTATTTTTTTTCCAGTCCTGTAGATACAGCATTTAGGAAAGTACTTTTATACCTGTTGGGCTTTTTGCTATAACTATCTGAATGTAATATTTGTTTGAGATTATTGCTGTTTTACACATTAATTTGTGGAAAGGTTTAGAAGCTTTTCCCCCCCCTTATATGAAAAGTTCCCAGATACGTGGGGACTAGTTAGTGTCTTAATGGGTATCAATATCTATAGAGTTTCCATTCTCAGATCTGATGCTGTTGGCCTTTGTGATTAAGTGTTGTCAAGAAATTTTAGCAGTATGACCATAACCCGGTTTGGTACCTGGACTTAATCAAGGGAAAGATACTTGCTCCTCTCTAAGAAGATTTACCTCTTGTCTCTACTGAGGCACATTATTACCACTTTGCTATGAAAAATAGTATCTGTTGTTTAGTGAGCATGCCAGATACATTAGGTATGTTAGGTAATTTAATCTTCAGAATAAATCTGTGACAAAGAAAGGACTACCCTCATTTCATAACTAGGAAACAAGCCTGAAAGTCTAGTCAGTACCTTGACCAAGACACAAAAACAGCACAAAGCTGAACATGTAGCCTTAGGTCTCTGATGCCAAAGGCTGTACATTCTGCCACACTGCATTATGTGTTGGCATTTGTATCATGTTAGCACTGCAAACATCTGAGGAGGCTGAGGTAGACAGATAAAGATGTAATCATGGAGACTATGCTGTACATACATAGTCTGGAGCCCCTTCACATTCCTTTTGTGCTTTATCCCATGCTTGACTTACATGTATGCTTATTAAGCAACAGAAAAACTTCCTAGCCCTGGCTGGTATGGCTCTGTTGGAGTATCATTCCATGATCTAAAGGTTGCAGGTTCAGTTCTCTGTCAGGGCACATACATAGCTTACAGGTTTGATCTCTGGTTTGGATGTATATGGGAGGCAACCATTTGATGCTTCTCTCTCACATTGATGTTTCTCTCTCCCCTCCCCTCCCCACTAAAAAAGCAATGAAAAATGTCCTCAGGTGAGGGAGGATAAAAAAAAAAAACCACTATAACTTCAAACTCTCATCCCTATGATCAGATCAGAGATTGCAACTTGTAGAGTACAGCCCTAATAGTTTTAGTTGGGTTAGGGTTTAAAAGAAATTTCCTCTCCAAAGAAAAATACATACAGAGTTTAACCAAAAATACTTGACAATATATAGGTGTTTAGATACTGCTGTTATATGTAAATGTTGGAGCATAATATTATTAAATGGAATGGTTATTGTTTAAGAAACGGGGAATCTTGTAAATATAAATTCAGAGTTTCTCTTTAAAGCAAAATTGTGTACCTATCAGTAAAACAGCATTTAAGTTGGCTTTTGATTGGGATGAGAGAATGGTGTTTAAAATTTAAAAGTATAGGTGTGCAGCACTTAATAAAATGGGATTATTACTGGTAAACCTTAGGAGCAATAATAGTCCCCTTTAGGACTAAGTAGATGGAAAGTAGTACCTGGAATAGGTGGTTTTTCTACAGAACAATAGATTGAGAGCTGAATGTTCAAAAGGATGCTGGCTACTGCTATAAGCTCTTAATACTGGTTTGTGTCAGGAAGATAACGTTGGTGAATAAAGAAAAGGGAAATCAATGGTCCTAACCCAGTTCCCAACTCCTTTTCCCCCTTCTCTCATTCTTATTTGGTTTCCAGTTTGTATATCCACAGTTGAGACTATATACTCTGCAGGCCAAAGTCACACTTGGTTCTTTGCTTATGATATCATCACTCTTAGGATACAGGACACCAGTCTGCTGGGCCTTCAGGGTCTTAAATGTAAAAGTGAGAGTTTCTACAGTTTTTTTCTTCAGCAAGCCTCTCTAAGGTCCCTAAAGTTGTGTAGAAAGATAGTCTCCAGTTAGATTTTTCAGCCAGCTCTGGGATATAATGATCTTTGCTAAATATCAAAAAGCACTATCTCCCTTTTCTCCTGTTTCTGCCTTCAGTGGGAGCAGCTGGCACAGTCAGTGCCTTGCCAGCACACACTGGGGACTCTTATAGTTGAATTGACTGAATGAAGAATTGCAGAGGTAGGAGGGAAATCTGATTGGTAAAGAGGCCCCTACAAGCAGAGTTGGTGCAGAAAGAAATAGGAAAAATTATTTTTAGGAGGCACTCAGACAGAAATGGGCTGATGTAAAAGATGGGAGCTGTCATTCCTTCCTTTGCTAAGAAGGTATATGGGAACGTGAGGATTTATGCCAAAAATGCTGTTCTATACCTAAATATGAACAGTCACCTTTTCAGATGAAGCTTCTTCACAATTAACTTCAGGTTTTACATTTTTATTTACTTCCCAGATTTTGGAAGATATGTCAAATCTCCATAAGAGGTTAGAAGAATAGCACTTTTACAAAAACATTAATATAGACATGAATGTAATTAAAGTGCATCTTTGGTGTAATATTGTTAATGACTGAAATGCAGAAGAAATATTTTTTTAAAGCCCTACAATGTGCCCTGACCAGTGTGGCTCAGTTGGTTGGGCATTGTCCCACAAAGCAAAAGGTCACCAGTTCAATTCCCAATCAGGACACATGCCTGAGTTGTGGGTTCAGTCCCAGGTTGGGGCATGTGCGAAAGGCAACTGTTCAATGTTTCTCACATCAATGTTTCTCCTCCCGCTTTCTCCCTCCCTTCCCCTCTCTAAAAATAAATATAATCTTTTAAAAGCTTTAACTATTAGACTGTGAAGGAGGTATAGTTTCAATTGTTACTTTATTGTGCACTTGGACCTGAACTTGATATAATTCATGCTTCTCGGAGCCCTGTCTCTGTTGGCTCTGCTGGATACAGCCACAAGACTGACTGAAGGACAAGGAATAGGCACTGGTACTGTCACAGATAGGCAGGAGGTATAATAGTAGCCCAATTCCAGTATGGAATTTAGCAAAAAACTTGACTAAAATGTTTCTCAGAATAAAAATGTTATGATCTATTGGCTTGAAAGGAGTAATTTAGCAAAGATGCACAATTGCTACAAACCATGTTTGAAGGTAGTGAGATCAATGTGATGTTTATATCAAATAGGATTGTGTTGAACCAATACCACAGAGAATGAGACTTGAACAAGATGAGTCTACATCTTACTACCTTGAACCTCCTAGGAATAAAGTCTTAATGTTCAAAACAGCTTTCATCACTGAACCAGAGAGGCCTGGCCCAATAACATCATTGCTTGTAAAAAGTGTAGGAGGAGCAACATCCATGGTTGGCAGAATGGTGCTATACTTGAAGGCTAGGCTGTCCAGGAAATTCCAAGGGGGGGAACTGCTGGCACCTTGAATATCATGGAAATAAAGGGACTTGGCCAGTAGGTCCATGTGCCTTTTAGAAGTACATTTAACTTATTTGGCTCATGAGCCCATCCCTGAACCAACCACTGTGGCTAGGAGGATGGAATAGACTGTCCGGGTCTGGTTTTCACCCACTCTCCTGGAGCCATGGTTGGAGTCAAGCCCCACCAAAATCACATGGGTCAAGTATGAAGGAAGAAGTGACTCTAAGCGATACTTACGAAACTATAAGAAGAAGAAGAGAGGAGAGGTATTGGGGTCAAAAGTAACAGATAAGTCAGTGTAGAGAATTAGATAGGTAATTAGAATAATTATGAAAATGGCTAGTACTAATGAAGTGTTTGTTTTGCGCCTGACCCTCCTGGGCTAAGCACTTTTTCTGGATTATTTCACCATTATCATTCACATCTTAAACATGGAGAAAATAGAGCTGGATTGTAGGATATGTCAGGAAGTAGGAGACAGGATGGAAATCTAAGGTACATTGTTGCAGCTGTGGTGTAAAACTACCCACCTTCTAATGTTCTGTGCAAACATGCAGAAAATGACTGAGTCTCAGTCTCCTAAAAGGCCAAGAGACTACGCATGAAGTCTATCTCCAAGCATCTAAATGTCAAAGGAGAGGCTGTGAGGTATATCTCTGAGGAATCATTGCTGCCATCAAGTGACTGTCCTTGCAGAACGCTGGAGGGCCTTGACCTTCATATCTCAAGTATAGTCTTCCCCAGTCACTGTCCGTCACATAATTCCTGTGTTTTAGTTTCTTTTTAGTAGTTACTGTTGCAGTTTTACATTTGTTTAACTGCTTTATTCATATCTGTTTCTCCCTGTAGACTGGGCTAAGACAGCACAGTCATCATCTGGATTCACCATAGCAGCCCCCCTCCCAGCACCTAAAGGTGCCTGACATATAAGTAGGCATTCAATAAATACTTTTCACAAGGGTGAACAAGTTTTAACGAATGAACCTCCAGGAGACCATTTTTGCTTCAGGCCAACTGTCCTAAGCAAGCAACTACACAATACCTCCCTATTCAAGCAGGATGCAGGGGCAGCTGGAACTACATTTCCTGGAGGGCTCCAGGATGGCCTGGCTCCAGATGACCCAATCAGAGAGGAAGAGTTCAGTGTACATTCTGTAGAGGGGCCTAGTCCTCTCTAGCCCTGCCCTGAACCTATAGGCACCCAGTGTCTGTCCCATCTGCTGATCAAGCCCCAAGCCCAGCCAAGGACACACTGTGCTGGCTAGTCAACTCTTGGGGCAGCTTGGCAGCCAACTGCAGCCGTGACAACACCCTCGGCTGAGGGGCGCC